GTGTTACATTTGTTATAACTGATATACCTACCCTGACATAGTATAATCCTCCAAAGTCTGCAGTTTACATTAGAGTTCACAACACACAACTTGGTGTTGTGCGTTCTGTGGGTTTGGACAAATGTATAATGACATGTAGGCATCATCATAGTATCATACAGAGTATTTTCACTGCCCTAAAGTTCCTCTGTGTTCTGCCTATTTATCTCTTCCTGTTCCCAATCCTTGGCAACCACTGATCTTTTTACTGTGTCCATAGTTTTGCCTTTTTCAGAGTGTTATATAGTTGGGATCATACAGTATGTAGTCTTTTGAGCTTGGCTTCTTTAATTTAGTAATATGCCTTTAAGTTTCCTCCAGGTCTTTCATGTCTTGATAACTCATTTCTTTTTAATGCAGAATAATATTCCATTGTCTGGATGTTTATTTATGTATTTACCTACTGAAGGACAATCAGTCAGTCACCTGGCCACATCCTTGGTGTTTTCTTCTGACCATGCTTTCTCATTTTTTACAATATATATAGACCGGGAATTTTCCAGATTTTCAATTTCTGCTTCCCTTTTCCAGAACAATTCTGTCTTTAAGTAATCTCTTTTTTCACATTGTACTATAAGGAGTCAGAAGGAGCCAGGTTGCACCTTCAACATTTTCCTTAGAAATATCTTCAGCTAAATACCTAATTTCATCACTTGCAAAGTTCTACCTTCCACAAAAAACTGGAGCATGAACATGATTCAGTCCAGTTTTTTGCCGCTTTATAATAAGGATTGCCTTTCCTCCAGTTTCCAAACACATGTTCCTTATTTCCATCTGAGACCTCATCACAATGGTCTTTCCTGTCCATATTTCTAAACATTTTGTTCAGCACTCCTTAGGTATTCTCTAAGAAGATTGAGACTTTCTCTACAGCTCTCCTCTTTTCTCTCTGAGCTCTCAACAGCTCAGAACAGGCTGTTCACAGCAGTGTAGGACTATTTCTAGCATGTGCCTCAGTTCTCTCCCAGCCTCTACCCGTTACCTGGTTCTAAATTGCTTGCACATTTTTGGGTATTTGTTACAGCAGCACCTCACTTCTCAGTACCAATTTCTTAATCCTCAGGCTGCTATTACAGAATATGATAGTCTAGGTGGCTTAAACAACAGACATTTATTTCTCACAGTGCTCGAGGCTGGGAAGTCTAAGATGAGAGCCCAGGCAGATTTGGTGTCATGGTTCGCAGATGGCCATGCTCTTGTTCTTGTTAATCTTAAAAATAAAACTGGCAGTTATTTTTCCAGCAAAAATGGGTTTATTTGGGAATAACAGAGAACTGCAACCAGGACATGCAAGCTATGGCAAAACTATAGGCAAGTCCAACCAAAAAGGGAGAGGAATGTTATTTTATGGAGATGAAGGAGGAAGTTGGGAGGGTTTGTTTTGAATGAAAGACCATTGGACAAAAGCAAGAGTTCAGGGTGATGATGGTTTCTCATCGGCTGAGTTGCAGGGGTAGTCGATTTCTTATAGACGATTCAGTGGACAGGTGGCCTTTGAACAACACAGGTTTGAACTGCGCGGATCCACTTATACTTGGAAATTTTTCAATAAGTACAGTACAGTACTATGAATGTATTTTCTCTTCCTGATGACTTTCTTAACATTTTCTTTTCTCTAATTTCCTTTATTGTTAGAATATGGGTATATAATACATCTAAGATACAAAATATGACCATGCTTTCTTTCATTAATAAATTGACTATTGATGTTATTGGTAAGGTTTATGGTCAACAGTAGGCTATCAGTAGTTAAGTTTTTGGGGAGTCAAAAGTTATACATGGATTTTCAACTGTGTTTTGGGGCAATGGTGTGGTTCAAGGGTCAACTGTACATCTTTTCCTGTAGGGCCTATAATCGATCATTATTTCCTGTTGCTGATTCTTCTGTTGGGTCTGTAATTGACAGTTCTTTTGTAATTCACACCGAGTGGTATGACTTTTCCTTCTAGTCTCCTGACTCTACTTTAGCGAGGTTTCCCTTTATTAATTTCCACACTCATAATACCATCATACTGGGGTTAGGATTTCAACATGTGAAACTTGGGGGGACATAATTATTTAGTCTTCAGCCAATAGTATTGTTTTAAGTTTTTACTTAAAATATATTTATTAAATAAACACTGTAGCAATAGTAACAGGGAACAAATAAGTATGTAAAGAACTCAATCTTACCTTCATCCTTATAAATCTATTTGGAGATCTTTAATTGTGTTTGGTGGCTCAGCTACTATTCAGTCTTCATTTTTCTATGATCCTTAGTTCTCTGTGCTCAAAATTTTGCAAATTGTATATTGGTAAAGATATATTTCATGGTATAGTTAAGGCTTAAGGAAGAAATGTTTCTTAATTAATTAAAAGAAAATGAGGCTCTCCCAAACTCTAAACTTGCTGAATATCATGTCACTAATCTAAAATTTTGAAAAGCCTTTTTCACATTATACTTGGTAACACACATTGTTACTTCACATTACTTATCCACTCCCCAACTCAGTTTTTCCCTGCAAAAACAAAACAAAACAAAACAAAACACCCAAGCAAACGTACCTTCATAGTTATCAACTATGTTGTTGAGACATCTCTGTTCAAAATCCTTTGCCCCTCACTCACAGCACCATTGCAAATTCCCTTTCTATAGTTTGAGAAATACTGATGCATTATTTATAACACTAACTTTGCTTTTGCCCTGTGAAAGGGAAAACAAACATTTAAAATAGTTCATGTATTATCTTTTTAGTAGCATTCATTACCAAACAAGCAAAAATGTAAATAGAATAAACCCCATTATAGTATTTTGCTTGAGATCCATTTTAGCCACAATCCTATTATATGGAAGCAGTTATCTGAGAGATTCATTACATTTTACAACCACTTATTCATTGCCTAACATTTTTCAGATATCATGTTAGGCCTGGTAGGGAGAATAAAAAGAAAACCTACAAACTACTGGCTTCGGTCTCCCAGCACCACACAGCAGTGATGGAAATGATGGAAGTGCTCTCTCTCTGTGCTGATATGGCGGCCACTATGTGGCTGTTGAATGCTTGACTTGTAGCCAGTGTGTCTGTGGAGCTGAACTGTTACTTTAATTTTTCGTAATAGCATCTCTACTGAGATATAATCCACAAATAATACAATTTACCCATTTAAAGTGTACAATTTGGTGATTTTTGGTGTATTCACAGAGTTGTCCAGCCATTACCACAATTTTGGAACATTTTCATCACCCCCACAAGAAATTGCGTACTCATTAGTAGTTACTCCCCAAATTCTCCCAAATGTTCTCAGCCATGGGTGGCCACTAAGCTTTCTGTCTCTATGGATTTGCCTATTTTGGACTTTTCATACAAATGCAATCACAGTATGTGGTCTTTTGTGATTGGCTAATTTAATTTTAGTTTAATTAAATTCAATAGCCACATGTGCCTAGTGACTGCCATTAGAAGCAAGTGTAGTGAAGGACCACATACAGATCCTTAAGGAATGCTGAAGGCTAAGGAGAAGAAAATCATGAAAAGGGGGCATGCAGAATACAGGTCAGAGAGATTGGAGATGAACCCAGATGGAGCCTAGAGATGAGACAGATTCCTGCAGGAAGGGATGGTTAACAGTACCAAATAATACAGAGGGATCAAGAAAGAATAGTGTCAGTGTAGTGATGGGATAAGAATCCTGATGACAAAGGGCATTAGAATGTGGTGTTGGTGAAGAAGGATAGGCAGGTGGAACTTTTATATCATGTAGAGATGGAGGGAAGGAAGGAAATTTCAAGATGGTTTTGAGAAGCGTGTCAGGACTGATGGGAATTTTGTTTTGTTGCCGTTAGTATTTTTAGTGTAGGCCTAAGCCTAATTGGAGGCAGAAAAAAAGGACCCAGTGGGAATGAAGAGATCACAGATGATTGAGCAGTGTTCTGAAGGATGTGAGTGAAGATGGGACTGGAGTTAGCATAGGAGCAAGCCCTGGCAAGGAAGATAGAAGTCATCTTTCTCAGAGGCGGCAGTAAGTGAAGAAAAAGTAGGTGAAAATACAGAACAATTTTTACGTAGAAATGAAGGAAACTAAAGGAACTCATTTACTTAGGAAAATGGGAATGAGGCTTCTGAGGATAGGTTCCGTTCCTCTAGCCAGCACTGTGCTCAGATGTGGAGAAGGGAGTTCTCCAGAGGGTGTAGGGCTTTGGGAGGTGGGAGGATCAATTACTTACATTCTTTTTGCTGCTCAAAGGAATATGTCTCCTAGAAGCAACAAACATTTTTCAGGTACATAAAACCACATGAGATGCAGAGATCCAGATGTGCCAATTTTCACTTACTGAAAAGTGATGATTGTCCAAGGGTTTACATTTGAGATCTTCAAAGACGAAATGTATCAGCTTACGCATCCTCCCTTCCACCCTCCCATTTCCCCTTTCCTTCCTTCCTCCCTCCCTCCTTCCCTTCATCCCTCCCTCCCTTCCTCCCTTCCCTCCCTCCGTCCCTCCCTCCCTCCCTCCCTTCCCTCCCTCCCTCCCTCCCTTCTTCTATTTATTCTTCTTACCCTTTATAGAAAGCAGTGTACCCTCTTGCTCTTTGCCCTCTAAGGAAAAATGGAAACAAACAAAACAAAACTTTGGGAAGGCCAAATAATCCATACTGTAATGAATACAGAATTTCATGTTATGCATTACAACAAGACTATTTTAGTTTAGTTTAGAATTTTTTTTTGTTTTTCTAAGTCCACCCTGCTCCATGTTACAACAGTTAGTTGAAGAGCCAGGAAATGCTTTGAAATGCCACATAAAAATAACTATGCAAATATAAGAGCAAAATATACTAATGAATTGATATGGATTTAATTAATAATGTTGCTTTAGAGCATGCTTTCTGTACAGAAGTTTTAGAAATTAATAACTAATTTTTGTGGTATTTTCAATATATTAAATTATATATTTCTGTATTTATTTATTTATTCATTTATTTTAGGCTTTTAAAACCAAGGATGGATATCTTGTGGTTGGAGCAGGAAATAACCAACAGTTTGCTACTGTGTGCAAGGTAATCTGTACTCACTGGGATGGGCGGATGATCTATGCAATAACTTGTTTTGTAGAAAGCCAGGGAAGTTCAGTTTCACCTAGAACAATGTTGTTAAGTCTATAGCCAACTCGAGATCCCCTGCCTTCGCCCCTAACCGGGTGCCATTTTTACACTCGCAAATGCTAAGGACATGGTCTGAATTAGCATTCTGACTATATATATATATATTTATTTTTTTTGAGGTATCCGGCTGTATTTTGAAATGAACCATAGTACATAGTAGCCTAAATTATCCACCAAAGGGACCTGACTACCAGTCCAATGAAAAAAGGGAAAGAAAAAGAATTGATTTTAAAGGGATTTTTAATGTCAGGATATTTTTCTTCTCGCTTTCCTTTTTTTTTTTTCTTTGTTAACAACATGAGATCTAATTAGGCTCAAATACAATGTAATACCAAATTTATTGTATTAGCCACTAGAAAACTAAACATTTTTTATTTTCAAATTAGCCTTTGTTTAATGAGTACCTTTCTGCAGAGTTCATGTTTTAATTTAAGGTTTAGCAATTAAGGTTATATTAAAAATGTTGCTCCTCAACAAGCTTTTTAAAAAAGGCCTTGGAATCATTAAGGATAATTTTATGTTGAAGATTTTAAGTTTTTGGCATCACTTGGATATTTTTTTTATTTGGTGTTTTTACTACTTACCTAGATTTTTGTTTCTTTTTGTTTTTATTTGTCTTTAGGTTCTTGTTCACTTTTTCCAGTTCTAATCCCAGAAATACAATCTAGCTTTAAAAATCTGTATTTAAGGTTTTGTTTTAATTTCTCTTGCAGGTAGGGAGAGGTCTCACCTGCTGGGGATGTTTTTCTGATGGGGAGTTTATTTTCTTGCGCTAATCATAGATAAGCACTCACTGTGAGCTTTCAGTTTCATTAAAGATGCCTGTGAATTCCTTAGGGCAGCCCTCTTTATTGCCGTTAACTTCTTATGTCCAAAAATTATTTATTACTGTGGCTCTTTTGTATGAGAGGTTAATGAGCACAGCGAAAAACCACAGCAAAGGGGTGGGAAGTACCACGGAGAAGGTGACAAATGGAGACAGTTCCTATTACAGGAAAGGCTGGGACAGCTGAGGTGGGAAAGAGGGGAGCTTTCATAACGGTGACTCTGAGTAAGCGGAGAGAAAATGGATTCAAACATTTGATCTCGGATCAAAGAATCTTTATTATGAACGGTCAATGTTAAAAATATGAAACATACGGAAGCTGTTGCCTGTGAAGTCATTTGCGTACTCTAGCTGCAGAGATGTAAAAGCCAGTTCATTGCTATAAATGAGTACAGATTTTCTTCCTGGGCCATATGTTTTGGAGTTTTCTCTCTCCAGAAAGGGGGGTGGGGGGGAATTACTGGTTGACATATTCTTCACTGTTGAAAATAACTGTACTGAATTCTTCTTATTTTTGATTCATTACTGCTGATCAGTTTGAAACTTTTGAACTTCCTCATAAATATCCATAAGAACATTTTTTGAAAAAGATTTTTATTTCAAAGCAGAATATTTGCCATAAGTTTGAGTACTAAAATATGACTTATTGTGATGGTGTGTTATGATACATTTGTTTAAAAGGAGACCATCAGAGGGCCTTTGAGAATGGCATCCTTGACCTTGCTTTTCCATATGTGAGTTATGAATGATAATCCCTGCTATGAGCCCTTAAGACCATGTCTATCAAAATCTTTGAGATACTCATAAGAAAAATTTTATGCATAGAGGACTTTAATGTTATTTGCCTCATTTACTAGGCATCTTGAGCAAACCTTGCAATCTGATTGACTTTATATATCCTTAAATGTAAACATGCCCTAAAAACCTTTTAACCCAAGAAAAATGACCTGTTTCCTTATCCCATATATAGTGGGTTTCTTCTAAGTATTTTTTGTTCAGATTTATCTATTACTGAGGGGCTTGTCATTCAAACCGGCCTTGTAGAAGATGAGGTTCCCAGTTTTTTACAGTAAGCCCATCAATTGTTCTTTTGCCAAGTAAGGCCCATAATGAAAGATAGGGCAGCTCTATCTCCTAGGGAGAAATATAGCAGTATTGTCTGTGATGAATGAGTAGAATTTACTTAGGCCTAGTCTCTTTCCAAAATGGAATTTGATATAGTGGCTGAATAATACTTCTTGGGGACGGGTCCTGCTAAGGAGTTCTTATTGTCAGGAATTAGAGTGTGAGCAAGAGCAATGGGTTCAAGGCTTGGGGTTCAGAAAATTTTTCTGCATATAAAGTGAACCTTGGCTTAGAACAAATCCTATTTTATGTCTCTTAACATGATACAGAAGAGTAGGGAACATGAGCATATGTAAGCTATTTTAAGCTGATTGATGCCAACACTAATGGGTATTCCTATTTGAAGTACATTGACATCCTTTTAAAAGTCATTTAGACTGAAAGTTTCTTTTATTAGAGGGAATATGCATTGGTTCTCAACTTTAGCATGCAGAAGAAATCTCCTTGAGCTTCATTCCCAAAGATTTTGACTTAGTATGTCTGAGGTGAGGTACAGGAAACTTCGATTTTAATAAGCATTGTCGTTGATTTTGGAGCAGGTGGTCTGAGGACATTACAGCATAATTCTAAGGCATACCGTGAGTCTTGACACTAGTCAGGTGACCTCTGGCAAGACACGTAATCTTTGCTAAGCATCTGTGTTCTCACAGTAAAATGAAGATTATAATATATAACTCTCCTAATATATATCTTTTGGAGTTTTGTAAGAGTTAGATTAAATAAGTAAAATACTCAGTCCAGTCCTGGCTCACAGTATGCACTTCATAAATGGCCTCTCTAAAACTTAGGTTTGGAGATTCTGGTTCTGGGTAAGATAGAGTAAGCGTACTTCTCCCTATCTCTTCCACTGAACACAGTGATAAAACCTGGATACAATGCATGGAGCATCTCTAAGAGGATGCTGAAAAGTAAGTAGTAGGAGAACTGGGGAAGAACACCAGAATTTACAGTTCCTCTGAAAAGAAATAAAGTACCTCTAGGGCGCCTGGGTGGCTCAGTCGTTAAGCGTCTGCCTTCAGCTCAGGTCATGGTCCTGGGGTCCTGGGATCGAGCCCTGCATCGGGCTCCCTGCTCTGCGGGGAGTCTGCTTGTCCCTCTTACTCTCCGTCTGTGCTCTCCCTCCCTCCCCCCCCGCCAAATAAATAAATAAAATTAAAAAAAAAAAGTACCTCTAAAGCAGCAGTAAGTTTACCAGTTTTTTCTACAGTGATTTCCTTACATGGATACGGTGGAGCCGAAAACATGGAAGTGGGCCCTAGGAAACAGAGCTGAGCCCTAGGAGATGCCCTTCATTCCCGCAGTGAGGAGCACGAAAGTGAGCTCTGAGAGAGGCAGTGTGGAAATCCTGCATCTTTGCTCCCTGTCTGTTTTCTCATGCCATACTCCACAAACAACACTGTGGTGGGAGCAGCAGATGAACAGGAATTAAAACTCCGAGGAAGGAGAACTTTTCCTCTTTATCTCTGAGCTGTGATCCCCAGAAAAGAGGGGTGAATCCTTGTGGCTTTCTCCTCTGGACCTCCTCCCTGGAAGTATGCTGGGAAGTAGGCTAACTATAGGGGAGCCCCCAGGAAACCAGAAAGAGCCCGCAGAAAGGGATGAGCTTTGGAAAGTGAGCCTTGAAGGTGTTTGTGAACTCCTCCTCTCAGCCCTGAGCTGCACGTACCGCTGATCTGATCCTAACCAGCACACCAGAGAAGTTGCGAACTGAGTTAACCCACAGATGACTGCTCAGGAGGCAGCCTGACCATTAAGTGGGGCACATGCGGGATGGATTTGAACAGCACCACAAGGGCTTTGAGAACTGAACTAACACTTAGAACCAAAGCACAGAGAAGGTAGGTAGGGGCTTGCAGCCTGGACCTAACCAGATCAATTGCTTGCTAAAAACAATAACAGTAAAATGTTGCTGTAGGACTCAAACAAGACCCAGAGGCTCATACTATAATATTTAAAACCTCCAGGGTACAATCCAAAATTACTCAGCATATGAAGAACTAGAGCTTGCATGAGAAAAGACAGTCAATAATTGCCAAATGCCAAGAGGACACAGATGTTGGAATTAACTTACAAAGACTTTAAAACAGCTATTATAAAAATGCTCCACCAGGCATCACACATACTGTTGAAATAAATGGGAAAGGAGAAATGTCCAGCAAAGAAAGAGAAGATCTGAAGAAGAACCAATTAGAAACTGTAGAACCGAAAAATACGACCACCAGATAAAAAAAAGAAACCCCTCACCGGATGAGCCCAGTGACACAATGGAGATGACAGAGGAGACAGTCAAGGAGCTGGAGGATAGATAAATAGAAATTATTCAATCTGGGGCGCCTGGGTGGCTCAGTCGTTTAGCGTCTGCCTTCGGCTCAGGTCATGATCTCAGGGTCCTGGGATCGGGTCCTGCCATCGGGCTCCCTGCTCCTTGGGAGCCTGCTTCTCCCTCTGCCTCTCTCTCTCTGTCTCTCATGAATAAATAAATAAAATCTTAAAAAAAAAAAGAAATTATTCAATCTGAACAACAGACAGGGGAAAAAAAGATGATCCCCTCCTAAGAAATGAAAGAAAGAAAGAACAGATCTTCAGGAGCCTGGGGGACAGTAACAAAAAGTAACACTGATGTCATTGTAATCCCAGGAGGAGAGAATGAAGAGTACATGCTGAAGAAATATTTGAAGACATAGTTGCTGAAAACTTCCCAAACTTGGTGAAAGACAAAAACCTACAAATTTCATAATTTCAGCAAGCCCCAAATAAGATAGAGCCAAGTAAATCCATGCCTAAACACACCCAAGTCTTCCCACTGAAAACAAAGGACCAAGGGAAAAGTTTGGAAAGCACTCAGAGGAAAATGATATTACCTGTGGGGGAACACGGACTCAGCTGACTACAGATTTTTTTTTGTCGGAAACTGAGAGCCCGGAGCCAAATGGCACCAAGAGTTCAACCCAGAACTCTTATGTACAGTAGAAACATTCACAGGAAATGAAGGTTCATTAAAGACATTCTCCCTCCCCCACTCCCTTCCTCCCTCTTTCCCGTCCATCTTCTTTGAACAAACGCATACTTCATTATTTCTGTGGGGGGAAGCAGCACCTTGTTGGAATACTTCACGTGTATTTGGTGCTCAATATGTCAGGTACTTTCACTAACATCGCTTCATTCCACCCCAGGCGAAACCTTTTCAAGCACGTGAGGGATGCTTATGATCACAGCACTGGAAGCAGTCTCTCTAGAAACATTGTGAACAACAGCATGGCTGAGGCCAGAACCTGAATTACTTTGACCCACTGTTTCATACCACCTTACACAGAGAGAAGAGGTCTGATGAGTCAGATGCAGAGAACATCCGAGGGCGTCCCGGTCACCACTGCGGACAATCACTGAGCAGCTTTTTATGCAGCTTATACTATTTCTGGGTGAGGCCAGATTTACGGGTTTAACCTGTGATTTGGTGAAGGCACTTGCTTCTTCTGGAAATGACTTATTCACTACTAGGGAGGAGAGGGCAGGTTTCCATTCCTGGACAAGCCTGGGGGTCGCTTCTGGGATCACGTGTGGTGACAGGGAGTTTTTCAGAAAGGGCGCTCTATGTGGTGATGCTTTTTAAAATCTGGGGGAGGACTGCTGTCTTTATTATTCCTCAAGGAAACGAGTAAGTGAAGCCCGCGAAAGAGAAATGACACAGTGGAGATGCTCTCTTTACTCCAGGGGACCTCCCTCACTTTTCTGTCCTTTGTGAGATGATTAATGGATTGATTTTATTTAAACTGTGGGAAACAAATGAAACCATTAAATGTTTATATTTCAAGCAAATACATTACTTGGGGTAGTGAAGCTTTCTGTAGGCCACATGGCCTGCCCCGAGCCCATAAATGCTCCTCTGACTTTCCAACATAACTGCCAAACACTGCCTCCACACATTCTTTATAAAACTTCTTTTCCATTCCAAATCCACTTGGTACTTTCATTATGGTCTTGTTAAAATTGCAAGATGTCCAAAGGGACTTGCAAGATAGATTTTCCCTTTATTGAGGAGGAGCAAAAGAGGAAGTATATAAAAGCATTTCTATTTGTTATTCCTTCAGGGAGACATATTAAAGAAAAATAGTGACACTTCTATAAGGAAGAATATCTTTTAATTTGACATTGTTTTAATGGTGAGCATTTGGGGCAAATGTATATGCTTTTCCTTATTTTAGCACCTTGTACAACATCCTGGATAGGGCTTCTGGGACAGATAATATTATTTTATTTACATGTGGAACAAATAAGTGGATGTACCTAAAGGATATATGTTGATGATGGCCTTCATGTAAGTGCAGACTTGTACTTATGATATTGGTTCTCAGAACTAGGTCAGTTTTATCCAGTTTTGTATCTCTCTACCTACTTTCTCTAGACAAGACTTATTATGGGGATCTGATAACTCTTGTTCGTGGTCCCATCTGTAGGCACATACTTAAATGTAGCAAAAACTTCTCATAAATGACAAACTCAGTGATAGCATTACCCATCCTGATTGCATGATCCTTCTGTCTCTATTCCTTTGTTGCTGGAATAGGTCTGGAAGTGTGAAGATCAGCAAGGAATGATCCCGGGGAGCGTATCGGTAGGCCCGGAATGCTCGCACTCACGGGCAGGTACACGAAAACTTGTGAATTACACATTAAAATTATTTTTCCCCTTTAGATCTTGAATTTGCCTGAACTGATTGATGACTTCAAGTATAAAACTAACCACCTTCGTGTACAGAATAGAAAAGAGCTTATCAAAATACTCTCTGCACGGTAAGCTTGGATCTACTGTTGGTACATTTAAGAAAGAGTGTATCCTTAGCATTTGCCTGATTTGTGTGTGTGCGTGTGTGTGTGTGTGTGTTTTGCTTTTTTTAGATTAACTTGTAATTCTCTTCCATTTCACAGAATGGGTTAGTGGAAAGATATTTCAAAGCTATGTTTTTTTCTTTATTTGAAAGTTATTTTATGTGCCTTAATAAATACTGACTCATAACAATGATATCAATGAGAAAAGTTACAATGGCTTGAAATAGATCGCTTTTCTGGAGCATGTGTTTGGGTTTAGTCTATTATAAATGCCAGTAACAACAATAATTTAACAATTTTTTTTACCTTTGCTGTTTGAATGCTCTACACACCTGAGCCCATTTAATGCTTATAGTCATCCTGTGGTGTAAATTCTATTCCCGTTTTGCAGATGAGGGAACTGAGACAAAGAAAGTTTAAGTTGAAAGTTCTGTGAGGTTTGTCATGATGGTGTTTTGAAAATGCCAGATCGAGTTATGGGTCACAAGGGATTAATGTTAATCAAGGAGAGTATTTGATTTCCAGATTATTCCCTTCATGTCAGGTTATGCTTTTGTTAAAACCTGCCTCAAACCTTTCAAGTTTCCCTCAGAGAAGGGTACTAATTCTTAATCTTTCCTACCAGTTTCACTTTTATTTATGTCTAAACTTCTCTATATAGAGTAGGCGTCGTGGTTTTTGCCGATCTAAATGCCCACATGAGCTGTTCTTCAGCGTGGAACATTTTTTCCCCCCTCATCATGCCCATAAATGAAGGACTTTTGTTCCAATACCATGTCTTGTCTTTTGAAAGGGCCCTTGTCTTTCTCTGTAGTGTGTATCAAAGTTCTTAGACAATAAAATTCTGCTACTGTAATTTCTCTTTCTGTCCCCCTGGGATTTGGGCATCTTTGGGTGGATCAACAACGTTCATTACCTATTTGCCTTTCCCTGGACTGCAAGCCGTTCTCTGAAATCCTTGTGCCCCCGGCTCTTTGATCAATGGGGGCTCTGTGTGGGGCTGATGTGCGGAGAACACGGGAACAAGGCTGGGGCTCTCCTGTCCTGGTTGTTGGTGAGGTATCAGTCTGATTCTACCACAGAGCCCAGGAGCCCTCAATCATTAACCTTTCCCCACATGAGAATTGGCCATTTATTTCTGCTTTTTGCCTCTTTGCCTCTCCAGCAGTTTTTAATCCATTTAATTCATTGATAGGACTTTTTCCTTTCACACCACGGTTACCCAGTTTCAATAATAGGCATTTGTGAGAGCCTTATCAAAAGCTCTTTGATAGTCTAAATAAATCACATCCATGCTGTGAGAAGAGTGGACCCAAGAAAAATACAAAACCTCGGCAGATACAAGTGTCATCTTGTTCTTTAGATGCCAGCACTTTTATAACTACAAGAACCACAAAGTTAAGTTACTGGTGTCCAAGGCCCTGAGATGTTTATTCCTGGCTATATTCTGTCCTAGAATTCTGCTGTTGAGAGACTTTTAGCAGCATCTGTAACACATTAATTTCTATTTTCTCTCTTTGGGGTGAATTAAATAATTTGCCACCCTTTTCTTTCTCCTCTTCTATACGCAGAAGTGGAAATTTCATCATTTTGGAACCCTTCAGGTTCTTATGTCTTTATTCAGATGTAACAAGGAATAAGGAATCGAATCCCATGGAAGAGACGAGGGGTAGCCTGAAGAGAGGAAATTTGATAGGGGAAGTCACACTGTCCTAGGTCCTGCTGTTCAAACACAGACCACACGGAGCCCGCGCTGCCCAGAGGTTGGCTTTCCTGCTCTCTGGTGTTAGCTTGTTGATGGTTTTTGGTGCTCTCCTGTGACCCGCAGTTCTTCAGTCTCTGCCAGCTCAAGTCTCTTCCGCCTGGTGGATCAACCAGTGATGAGCAGGGGAGATTAGGATGTGATTCGTTCCCATTTACAACACTGTCGTTTATTTTCCTGAGCAAACGTCACTGGATTCATTAGTACCGTTCAGTGCTCAACATTCAGAATTCTCTATGAAAGTGCAAACATGTATCATTTTCACAAGACGATTCTATATTTCCTATGAAATATTCAAAATGTTAAGTGGCTCTCGATTATAGGATTAAATCTGGTCTTTTTAGATCTGATGTCATGGTCTTCTACAGCCTGAAATGATCTTTTCTTTCCACCTTTTTCTCAGCCTAAAGCCCCTGCTAGGGCCGCACTCCCAGTCTGTGTCTTTTGTTCTCTGTATGGAATGCTTCCCAGACTTACTATCATTTTGAAACACAGTCATGCTTCAGGCTCCGTCCTACAGCTTCAGGAAACCATCCTCAGATGTCTCTATTTGGGGTCCCGGTCAGATGACAACACTTTCAGAATAGAAGAGACGTCTTTCCACTCCTCAGCTCCAGTTTCCCAGTTATCAGACTGAAACAGGATCTGCTTTACCTGTTGGGGATGGTGCTGTTCCACGTGTGCGGAACACACTGTTCCTTTCACTGGACAGCTGTCTCAGGACCTGTGAATCACAGACACACTAATGCCCAACCACAGAAAGGAGGCAGGGAGAAAGAAAGGTGAGGGACCAGCATTTATTAGATGCCTTGACTTACCAGAGAAGTGTTATTAGTCCCACTTTACAGATGAATATTCTGAAGTGTAGGCAGGTTAGTCTCAAGGTTCGACACACAGTGAATAGTTAGAATTCAAAAGGCTGTGTTTCTTTTCCATATGTCCTATTGCCTCCCTAAAGTGGTACATGAAATGTTACTCTTTGTTTATTTACTCAATAAATATTTATTGAGCACTGGGGATAGAGAATTAGATGAGACAATGTAACTGGGTGACAAATAATGCAGGGAAGGAAAATGAGGAGTGCCAAAAGTTGGTTGTGAGGCTCGCTGTTCCATTGAAGCTGGTCAGGGAGGGCCTCTCTGATAATGGGACATTTGAGCAGAGTCCTGGAGGAGGTAAGGGAAAGGGCCTGCAGATAACTGGGAGAAGCTTTTTAGGCAGCAGGTGTATGGGTGGTAGTTTAAGGATAGCAAGAGGACAGTGAGCCTGGAGCTCAGTGGTCTAAAGGGAGAGTAGGGGGGTGGGTCCAGAGAGAGAGAGAGGTGGGTCCAGGGAGAGAGCGTGGAGGGAGGTGGGTCCAGGGAGGGAGCGTGGAGGGAGGTGGGTCCAGGGAGGGAGCGTGGAGGGAGGTGGGTCCAGGGAGGGAGCGTGGAGGAAGGTGGGTCCAGGGAGGGAGTGGGTGGAGGAGGGGTTAAAGGAGGGGGTGGGTAGTGGGGGGGGGAGCGGGTCTAGGGAGAGAGTGGGGGAGGTGGCCAGAAAATCATGTTGTAAAAGTTATGATAGACTTCATAATAGTTTCTTAAACTTGTGAAATAAAGGAATTATTTTCATCATAAAGTGAGTTTCTCAGCAACCACTATTTTCTATCTAGCCTGAAGACATATTTTTTTTAAAAAGATTTTATTTATTTATTTGAGAGAGAGAGAGAGAGAGAACAGAGGGAGAGTGAGAGGGAGAAGCAGGCTTCCTGCGGAGCAGGGAGCCCGATGTGGGGCTCGATCCCAGGACCCCGGGATCATGACCTGAGCAAAGGCAGACCCTTCGCTGACTGAGCCACCCAGGCGCCCCTGAAAACACATTTTTTCCAGTTTTATTGAGACATACTTGACATATGACATTTTATAGTTTAAGGTATACAACATAATGATTTGATATTTGTATATATTGCAAGATGATCATCGCAATCAGTTAACATCCATCACCTCACATAGTCACACAATTTTTTCTTAAGATAAGTTTTAAAATCTACTCTCTTAGCAACTTTCAAATACACAGCACTGTTAACTACAGTCACCTTGGTGTTTTCCTATGAAATCTATAGACTTTGTTTGAAAGCCTACCAGAAATGTCAGTCACTTACCTCACTTTTCTGTTATTCTTGCTAACTGCGGTCTGATGCTCCTTTCTGAGAGCTGCCAGGCTCATTTAGGAAGGCAGCCGCATGTTTTTGTCATCAGCTGAGTTGTCCACAGCCAGCACACACACAGTTCCCCTCAGGTGCTCTCAGGTGTTACTATTCCCCGACCGTGGCCATGAACAAGGTTTTATTTTTTTTCTTTTCCCTTTTTTCCTTTTTCTTTCTTTCTTTTTTTTTAATTTAAAGGTGAAGACTTTTCCCTTGAGCTTGCCATTTTATCCAGGGTGTTGCAGAAAGTCTGTTTACCCAGCTGCGAAGACTGAAAACTGTGCAAAGCTAAAGCATGTTAAAAGTCCCCAGCTAAAACACAGAAGAGATATAATAGAGACTAATCCAGGGCCCGTTAAAACAAACCCCTTCTTTGCAATGCCAGGGAGCAACGTCTCCTGAGCCTGTGCTACTCATGCCCTGGATCAGCATTTTTGCAATCATAAGGACCTCAAGGGAGAGATTGAAAATCATAGTGTGTGTTGAAACCAAGAAAAGAAGGATAAAGATATAGTGTTGGGAGTTGGGGAGAAATAATAGGAAGACACGAAATGAGGAGGAAGGAAACGAGAAATGACGGGGAAAATAGAAATACAATTAGTTTTATTTCTCTCCCTTCCTTTCTTCACCATTACTGGCCCCTGACCGTGTGCACTTGTCCTGAAGCGACAGAGATGGAGGAGGAGATCTGGGCTCTTGAGGGGTTCATGATCAAATTAGGAAAATAAACAAGTAAAGCAGTGGTTTAAGTAGTGTGTGCTGAGTGCCGTGGCAAACATACAGGATGCCGAGAGCCCAGAGAAGGGACCATTACCTCAATGTGGTCAAGTCAGGGAAGGCTTCCTGGAGGTGGTGCCACCTGAGATGGGTCTTAAAGGACAAACAGAAGTTGGTGAAGAAAAAAGAAACCACAAAGGAGGAAATATTGGCCGGAGTGTAATTTCCTAGGGAGAAAACAAGTCATAGGAAAAGAAAAATAAAGTAGCTTGTAAAGAAACTGGTGGCAACTTTTAAATT